CTTCCGCCCCGGCTTCCACCCCAGCTTCCACCCCAGCTTCCACCCCAGCTTCCACCCCAGCTTCCACCCCAGCTTCCACCCCAGCTTCCACCCCAGCTTCCACCCCAGCTTCCACCCCAGCTTCCACCCTAGCTTCCACCTCAGCTTCCACCCCAGCTTCCTCCCCAGCTTCCACCTCAGCTTCCACCCCAGCTTCCACCTCAGCTTCCACCCCAGCTTCCACCCCAGCTTCCACCCCAGCTTCCACCCCAGCTTCACCCAGCTTCCACCTGTAGGCTCGGGGGATAGTTATCCAATCATCACTCAATGTTCTTTGTAAATCTGTGGAGTGATGAGGCCCGAGCCTAGACGCCAAACTCAAACTAAATGCTGCTTCTAATAAACATGTTAACAAACACGTGAGTTGTCTGACTGAAATATATTACAATTAGAAATCTGCTTAACTTATTGGAATAACGTTCCTTTCTTAGATTTTCTTTCTAAATTTGCAATTAATTATCTCTCTAAGAAGTCTGTAATAAAAAGGCTGATGCACTCCCAAGCACAGAATAAAAAGGAGGCAAGCAAACCATCAAAGTGTTCATAGCCAGAAGTGTTTGGAGCTGGGACACTGGACATTGTTACTGTGAAGGCAACCGCTCGTGTTTATTCAATATTTAAATGAGAGAAAACCTAATTTTGATAACTTTGATTTAGTTTATTCTCTTTAGATATTCTGTATATACTTTTTTGTCTTTATAAATCTTTTTGAGCTTTAAATCAACCGACTACGCCTTTGTTTACAGACGGACAAAGAGAACCACGTCACGTGTGTATTTCCACAGTTTTGTAGCCCAGCACACTTGATCATGTGTTGGTCTGGAATTGAACCGGTGTCTTAAGATGCACTCACCCCAGCGCCCACTCTGCCTCGAGGTCCCTTCACACCGCCGTCTCCTTTACTGCCCTGCAAAACCAGAGGAGACAAGACGCTGAGGAGAAGTACTCACATGCATTACTTTAATAACAGAAATAAGACAAGACAAGAGAAGATAAGATAGTGCTTGTTACCTTGTATCCGAACACCCCCGGCTCTCCGCTCACCCCGGTGACTCCCATCGGACCCTGAGGAGGAAACCAGGAAGAAGTTCAGAGGACAGTTTGTAGATATATTTTTCACTCTAAATGTAATAAACTCACGTCTTCTCCGGGGTCACCGTCGCTGCCCGGCAGGCCGCCGTAACCTTTGGTTCCCTGAGGGAGACAACAGAGACAACATGACATGAGCAGAGAGAAAACGAAGCTTAACGCAAGTTCAATCGAGCCCCCTCCCGAAATATACCTCCGCTAATTGACAAACACAATAGAGTGGTGCAGTGACGAGTCCTAAAACCCGGAAGTGAGTCAGCATTTCTCCACTTCCTGTTCCCTCGTCTCAGAGCCAATGGGATCTCTCCATAGGGTTTTGGAAAGTATCTGGATTTAGGTCTGTAGTTGAGACACATTGAAGAGACGGATCACGTTTTGTTCTACATTAAATCCATCAGCAGTGACCCCACTGGTGATTTCTGAAGAGTTGACGTGTCTGAAAAACGATGGTTGTTACCAAGTGGCTGAATAGGACTACAGAAGTCGTGGAGGTCGTTGTACGTCATTACGCCGAACACGTAAACACTCCTCTAAGTGTGTTTGCCCTGTTCTGCTTGAAAGCAAGTCCCTGCCTCCTGCAGACTGTTCAAACAAACACTTCAACTCGTACCATTTAGAATCTGTGTGTTTGAATATGGATCTGAAGTTGGCGTGACGTCGAAGCAGCGACCCTGCTGTAGTTCCTTTATAGCATA